CCGGAGACTGTATAGAAGAGGCAGTCTTAACAATGGTATTTTTATCAAGTAAATCAGACTTAGTCTGAGTCTTAGTTTGGGATAATATTTTGTCAATTTTATCATGTAAAGATAGAATTTCCTCACCTAAAATCGAAAGATAAAGATTGCAAAAATTATTTTGCTCAATCATTAAATTGATATGTTTAATTGTAACTTGTAGAACATCATTTTCAATAATTTTAAAAAATGGAAGAAAATTAAAAACTCTACCATTTTTTTCAATTTGAAAAGGAACATGAGGAGGGTGTACAGATTTCTGTATTTCACCAGAGATAATTTTAAAATCTCTTTCAATTACTGAAACATGATTTATGTAAAAGGTTTTTATGAACCAAGGAACATAATAGGTAAGTTTATTATGATGAGTGCAGAATTTATAAAAACTGTTAACAAAGTAATCTAAATCAGTTTTTGAAAAGGATTTAAAATACCATATTCTAAAATCATCCCATTTAGGATTATAAAATTCATCATTAATCTGGGCTCTTACCGAAGAACCCTTTGAGAAATCAAGTAAGGTTTTAAAATCCATTTAAATCTTAAAATTACAATCCGAAATTGTTTCGGGATCAATCTCATCTTTATGAATGATATATATATATATATATATATATATATATATATATATATATATATATATATATATATATATATATATCGAGGCGGCCGATTAATCGGTCTCCGAGGCGGAGGCGGTCCAAAACCTTTACGATTTTAGTATAAAGGTTTGAAAATTCGGTTTATTGCCTGTGAGGCGGTTTCAGGCAGGTTGAGGCGGTCCGAGGCGGATTGAAGCGGTCAAACTTCGGTGTCAAAAATCAGTCAAAAATCAGTTTTTTTTTTTTTTTTTAATACTTCAAAATAAAAGTTGGGATTTTAATTAAAAAAAATAGATTTATACTTTATTTTGTTTATGTTAATTGTTATTATTAAAGAACTAACGGTGTATGCCAGAAGTGTTCAAGAATAAATGTAAATTCAAAAAAATTGTCTTTTTATTTATATTTTATAAGGATATTTATGTATTATAATCTTATTATTATTAAACTTTTATTATGTTATTAGGATATATACATGATGGAGATATAACTATGTTTAAATATCTTTTTATACGTGTTTTGAGTATTTATAAATAATACCTAGGAATAAATTTAATATAATATATTCTGTTAAATCTACTCCGGCAAAATTGCATTACCTAATTATTCTGTTAATTTTTTTATCACATCTAATTTTCTCCATCTCTCTCCAAATCTCGCCCCCAACTTCCCCAATATCTCGTAAATTAATTTCATCCTTTTCTCTTGATCTCCAAAAACTGCAACAATGTTTCACGTTTACTGTAAGAAAATGTACTATTTTTTTTTTACCAAACTTCTTGCCTTTAGAGCAAACAACATACATATATTGGTTCAACGTCACACAAGCTTTTCCGGTAAAAAAATTGACGTGTATTACAGTGGAAATGGCAAAATTCACTTTGCACAATAGTGGATTTAATAAAATGGGAATGTCAAAATACATGGATTTAATAACGGAAGGGCAGAAACCACTATGAACGCGAAAACCACTCAGTGAGCGAAAACCACTATGTGTGCAAAAACCACTCTTACATTTAACTTTGAAATTCGGCATTGTGTCAAAATCACTCTGTAATTTGAAATGTTCGATTGACTAGATGCTAACAACCACATAACAATGGGGGAGAAAAAAATATGTGCATTCATATTAACATTATTTCGAACAGTGATAAAATCACGACTATTATGAACTTACATTGTTTGCGTAAAAAGCATGAAAATCACTCTGTATTTTCTTGAGATGAACTTCCTGCTCATGCAATCAGATTGGTATTAATGTGAAAAAAAATACCAATTACGTTGAATAGAAAAGGAGAAAATTATTAGAATACCACCACCGGGGGAGGGAGAAAATTGGGTGGTCACCGCCATAGAGAAGAAAGGCGGCTAGGTTTTAGGCCATGGAGAAGAAGAAGAAGAAGATAGAAAAAGATAGAAAAAAAAATTAAAGAAAAAATATTAGAATACCACCACCGGGGGAGGGAGAAAATTGGGTGGTCACCGCCATAGAGAAGAAAGGCGGCTAGGTTTTCACCGCCATGGAGAAGAAAGGCGGCTAGGTTAAAAAACCTAAACCTGGTGCTCTGATACCATATAGGAAAAATAGAAGGAAGAGAAGAAGAGAAATATTATGTTTTTTACGTTAAAAAAATACCAATTATGTAGAAGGAAGAGAAGAATAGAAAAGGAGAAAGATAGAATTAATACGTAATAGAATAGAAACCCCCATTGTGTTATGGGTTGATTACATGGAATATATATAGAGAAATATTGCAAGGTAATAGAGTTTGACTAGGTAACTAAATCCTAACTAATCTAGGTAACCGAATCATACTAGAATCCTAATATTACAAGAGTTCTATAATATAATATTCTCTAACACGCCCCCGCAGTCGAAACGTGACGAACGTGAAGACTGGACAATCACTTGCTAGCACGCTCCCGCAGTCGGAACGAATAAACTTCAAACGTGGAGACTGGAAACTTCAAACGTGAAGACTGGACATAAACCGCGAAACACATCGCTAGAGAATTCCTCTGTGGAAATATCTGTCCAATTGATAAAAAAAATATAATAATAATAACAATGGAGATAATTTTTTTTTTTTATTTTTTTTTTTTTTATTTTTTATGTATGAATCGAGAGAGAGAAGATATGAGATGGGGAAGAAGAAGAATAATTAGAAGAAGGATAGAGATCCAAGAGATAGAAAAGAGATTAATCGACTAAGAAGAAGAGGATGTCGAAGAAATATATAAGTGAAAAGAAGAAGAGTACCACCACCGAGAGAATTGGTTTGGTGGTCGCCGGCCATTGAGAATAAGAAGAGGCGGCGGCTAGGTTGTAGACTATGGAGAAGAAAAGAGGAGGAAGAATAGAAGCGGCTGCTAGATTTTAGGCCATGGAGAAGAAGAATAAGAAGAAAAAAGATAGAAAACCACCGGGGGAGGGAGAAATATGGGTGGTCACCGCCATAGAGAAGAAAGGCGGCTAAGAGAAGAGGAAGAAGAAGAAGAAAAAAAAAAGAGGCGGCTAAGAGAAGAGGAAGAAGAAGAAGAAGAAAAAAAGGTATAGAAGATGCACCACCGGGGAGGGAGAAAATTCGGGTGATGTGCATGGAAAAGATAGAAAAAAAAAATATTAGAGTACCACCACGGGGGAGGGAGAAAATCGGGTGGTCACCGCCATGGAGAAGAAAGACGGTTGGCTAGGTTAAACCTAAACCTGGTGCTCTGATACCATATAGGAAGAATAGAAAAGGAGAAAGATAGAATTAATACGTAATAGAATAGAAACCCCCATTGTGTTATGGGTTGATTACATGGAATATATATAGAGAAATATTGCAAGGTAATAGAGTTTGACTAGGTAACTAAATCCTAACTAATCTAGGTAACCGAATCATACTAGAATCCTAATATTACAAGAGTTCTATAATATAATATTCTCTAACAAGATTGGTATTAATGTGAAAAAAAATACCAATTACGTTGAAACGGTTCTCTATAATTAAGGGACGGGAATCATGGAATTATTTAAGGAGGTGTTGTTACGATATAATAAGAAAAGATATTGCATATCTTTTTATATTTTCAATTCTAAAATATACGTTACTTTAAGTTAGGGGTATATTTGTGATAATTTATTAATTTTTATTAATAAAAAGGATTTATCTCGAAAAGTTGTAAAAAAATTCTCATTGTAAGTACACTTGTATGATGAGAGAGCATTTCACCCTTTTTTTTTAATTTATAATAATCCATGGGTTTTCGTTCAAATCTTATTACTTATCCAAAATATAAATAATTTAATTAGTTATAATCTTGCGAATTTGTCTAACTGATATTCTAAATTAGTTACAAGCTAATCTATCCTTTTCCCTCAAAATAATATATCCATTAGTTTCGTTCAATAAACTATATTTGTTATTTTGTAGTTTGTACCCCGTGTATTAAGATTTAAGTAACTTAATTTCAACCAATTTAAAATAATAATGAAAAAAAAAAAAAGATAGTAACCAATTTTATTAAGTTTCCACTATGATTGGTATCGGTAAATTCATGAGCGAAGTCCCGCAAGCGGTTGGAGCAAGCGATTTGTTATTTTGTAGTTTGTACCCCGTGTATTAAGATTTAAGTAACTTAATTTCAACCAATTTAAAATAATAATGAAAAAAAAAAAGATAGTAACCAATTTTATTAAGTCCACTATGATTATTGGTATCGGTAAATTCATGATCGAAGTCCCGCAAGCAGTTGGAGCAAGCGAGCTCGTGTTAATTGATCTAAGTTCGAATTTCCTTGCCAACGGTCTCTAGGTCGATCGAGCCTGTCACACATGGTTAGCCTAGTGTAGTTTACATCTCCCGTATGTTTTACAAGTTATTATACGAGAGTATAGGTTTACTCAGTGCACGGGTTCCTTCGTTACCAGAAGAAAAAAATTTTTAATAAATTCATGATCGAAAAATATTTCTCTACTATTGATCAATATATTTTAAGTGATGAATGATTTAAGCATACATAATTAGTTTTCATAATTGGACATGTGGCATAGGATATTGTGTTGGTTAGTAGTTCAATCGGTCGGATCGGTTGAACCGACATTCCGATCGATCGACGTATCGAAAAATTGACTATATATTTTTATTACATTATAGGAATGACGATGTAAAAAATTTAAAATGCAAAACAAATTTAATAAATCTTGAAATCATTTACAAATTAGTCCATATTTATAATTACACTACCCCATAACTAAGAAATGAATATTCATGTTTGTCTAGTCATCCATTTCTATTTACAATTTATTTTAATTTAGAGTATAACAAATTAAATTGTGAATATAATTACTTGTATTTAAAGTTCAACAAGGAATAAATAAATAAAACATATATATATCCCTAGCCAAACTCAACCAGACAATGAAAGAACTTAAATGTATCTCCACAATCTTTCATTCTCTCAAACCAACTCATTCCGAACCGAAGTCTTCTCATAAGATATTCGTCGTCTAGCTTCACTAGCCTGAAATATACATATTTTTTTTAAAATATATATATTTAGTGTAAGAAGATTTATTGCAATAATCGAAGCCAAAAAGTTGTCGGAAAATTTGTACCTGTTCCTCCCAATTAGTACGGGACGTTATAAAGCCGAGAAGGATAGCTTGTACTGTTCCACCGGCTACTAATCCAGCCCAAAGACCTTCGCCTTTCAAGTGCAAAACGAATCCTAGTACTAATGCTATCGGAATACCTACTATATAATACGCACCGAGATTTACGTAAGCTCCCATTCGCTGCCACCCGCCGCCTCTTACAACTCCTGTAATATTAAAAAAAAAAAAAAATTAAAACCAAGATTTCAGGCATTTATTGGAAAAAATACAGTTTTGGTCACTCAAGTTTGCACTGATTTTACATTTGGTCCCCATGTTTACAGAAAAACACATTTGGTCCCTCGTATTTCAAAAATTGAACAAAAAACACGTTTGCCCATCACTGCCTTAACTGACAGAGCAACGGTAAATTGACGAAAAGAACCAAAAGTGTTAAATTGTTGAAACATGAGGGACCAAGTGTGTTTTTTGTGAACATGGAGGACCAAATGTGAAATCAGTGCAAACTTGAGGGGTGAAAACTGTAATTTTCCCGGATTTTATTTGATTAGTCTGCAAGAAACACTATCTTGAACACTATCGGAGCCAGGATTTAAAGTCGGGGGGATCAAATGTATTAAAAAAATTATGAAGGAGGGCCGTTAATGCTATTATACACAATATTTTTATATTTTTATATATAATAATAGGGATTTGAAAAATGGTAGGGGGGGGGGGGTTCATGGCCCCCCCGCCCCTATGCTGGCTCCGCCGCTTATCTTGAAAATGACATGGAAGGAGTTTTAGTGAGGAAAAATAAAAAGAAAAATCACCTGAAAGGGCTGCTACTATGCAATCCATGCCGATGGATAAGCAAAGAAACGGAGTCATTTCTTTGACATAATAGGCCACGTTTTTCTCGTTACTGAACGAGTATCCCAATATATTACGGCAGAAGAAAATAACTGTTACTGCAATAACTAGCTCCACCATTGCCAGAAACATCACAGCTGAGAGAACTACCCGAGCCGACTGTGGTTTCCCAGCTCCAAGTTCATTAGAAATTCGGGTGCTAGAAGGGCAAAAATGTCTTTTCAGTCAGTGGAGAAGCGTAGAAATCGCTTTTACATTAGCTCAAATATATACAAAAATAGATTTAAGATCTAACCTTGCTGCAGCACCAAAAGAATACGGTACAAGAAAGTGCATCGTAGTAATTGTGAGGCTGCTCGTAAAAAAAAAAAGAATTAAATAAATAAATAAACAATTGTTTAGCCATTTAAAAAATATATATATATCCAAAATAAGCATTTACCATATTGATAGCACCGATGTCTCTAAACCCGGGTTCGGCAATAGTCCACCAAGCAATATGATTATCTCATATGTCCACCACTCCAAACTTACGACACGAAGGAAAGTTTGTCATTTATTCATTGTCATATATTATAGAGTACAAAAAAACGAAACGAAAGAAACGGAACAAAAAAATTACCAAATCATTACTGCAGAAGGGATAGCATATTGGAAGAATATTCCCATAGTCAGAAACAAATCCCGCGAGAACTTAGCACGTGTCTTCTTACACGTCGAAGAATACTTCACATACAGAACAAGCATGATCACGTTCGACCAATAGGAGAAGCCGATAGCTAGTGCTGCGCCAGCATTTCCGAGATTTAACTTGAATATAAAAACCCACGAAAGAGGCACATGGATGCATAGGGAAGCTAACGAACTAACGAGCATAGGGAATATCAAACTCTGAATCTGCAAGTAACGAACCAAAGACTGAAGAATGGCGTACGGGAATAGTGAAGGGATTAGCCAAATCGAAAAATTTCCGGCTTCTGCAGAGATTAGTGGGTCTTGGCCGAGTAGAATTAGAATATTTTCCGTGTAAATCCATAATAGAGATACTGGTAAACATGCGAGACAGAGCCATATTATGGATCCGTACGTCAGAATTCCGACTTTTTCGTATTGCCGCGCTCCGTAGGCTTGTCCGCATAGAGTCTCTAATGCACTAGCCATTCCAGTCTGCTCGGAAAATTTAAATTTTCTAATTAAGTAATCAATAAATAAAACATCTCAACATTAGCTCAATCAAAAAAAAAAAAAAAGAAGCCATTCTTCAATAAATTAATACATTTTTTAATTATTTTTTTATTTTAATTCGGTATTTATCTATTAGTTTATAGACTTTCGCCCCGAAAGTTTATTTTTATGCACTTTTCGTGCAGAAAAAAACCTTTTTTCTTTTCTTAAATCATCCCATATCCTAGCCCCGGAACAAAAAACACCTGGGTCCGCCGTTGGCTTAATACAAATTGGCCTCGTTTGGTTGCCAGGATAAGATTAACCAAAATAAGATTAAATAATCTAATGAAAACCCAATTATTTTATCGGACGCCACGACGTCGAACAAAAAAACTACCTAAAAGACAAGATAAGACAATATAAGCCATATTTGCAGGTCGGACAAGTTATTAGGTATACTGAACATCAAACAAAGTCCAATTATTTAGTTAATAATGGCTAATCTCCCTAAGAAAACGAGGCCTTTGCGTTTTTCGGGTATATAATATGCTTTTGAATATACACTTAGTTCAAATTAATGGAGATACATATGAGTTTTTCTTTTTCTTTTTTTTTTCTGAAAAAAAAAAAAACAGAGTAATATAGCTGTATTTGGTTAGAATTTCTTTGTACACCTTTTACTCTATGAAGCAAATCATCAAACACGTAACAGGCATTAGAAAGAAAGGAGAAGGGGCTTACTTACAAGGAGACTGAAACCGGTGACATTCGAAAGAGAGGTGGCGATGGAGGCGCCGGAGAGTGCGAGTTCGCCGAGGTGGCCCAGCATCATCAGCGACACCGCCCGGAGCATGTACTGCGACACCGACACCACCACCATCGGCATCGCTATGTAGCTCACCATGTTCAGCTCTCTCACAAACGCTTCCCATTTTTTCGTCGAATCTTTTTCTTCTCGTGCGTCGTCGTTGTCTGGTACGAGGAGGAGGAGGAGTGGTTCCTCGGATTCCATTTGTCTGGGTTTTCTCTCTCGATCGTTGGACCGCCGGAAAAAGTTGGGGAGATTGTTTCGCCGCCCTTGTTGGCTTTAAGAGGTTGCCGAAAGTGGTGGAACATATAAAGGCGGTGTTTGCGAAAACTCCTGAATAGATATAATTACGGGTTAAGACTAAAGTCTATTTTCTGTTTTTAAAACGTTGGACTCTTTGTAAATGGGAAAAATTACAGTTTTGACCCCACAAGTTTGTGCCAATTTTAGATTTGGTCCCCCATGTTTAAACCAAAATCACATTTGGTCCGTTATTTTTCAAAAATTCAACATTTTTAGTCATTTCCGTCAATTTAACGTTAAAACTAACGGAATCAAGCGTGTGACCTTCACTGCCTTAACTAATGGTTAGTTGACAAAAATGACCAAATGTGTTAAATTATTGGAACATGAGGGACCAACTGTGTTTTTTGTTAACATGGGGGCCAAATGTGGAATCGGTGCAAACTTGAGGGATGAAAACTGTAATTTTCCCTTTGTAAATATATTTAATTTGGGAAATTTATATTTTTCATCCCTCAAGTCTGCATCGATTTCATATTTGGTCTACCATGTTTATAAAAAAATACAATTGGCCCGTTATGTTTCAATAATTTAATAATTTTCGTCATTTCCGTCAATTTACTGTTAGTTCGTCTGTTAAGGCAGTCATTGGCACACGCTTGATTCCGTTAGTACTATCGGAAAATTGACGTAAATAACTGAAAATATTGAATTTTGTAAACATGAGGGACCAAATGTGTATTTTATGAACATAAATGACTAAGTATGAAATCGGGACAAACTTGAGGGATGAAAACTGTATTTTTCCCTATTTAATTTAGTATTGATGTATTTGTAAAAGAAATATTTAAATTTGAGTATATACAATGCAATTTTCATTTTTTCACAAAATTATCATCAACCAAGAAACCTTCGGATATTTTTTAGTTTATTATAACTTCAAATAATAGATTTTGGCTTAATTCCATTTTGCACCCTTAAAATGTATTATTTTGGCAATTTGCACCCAGGAAAAAAATTAATATTATTGTACACCCTCAAACTACAACAAATCATATAATGCACCCTGAATGATTTTTTTAGTTTTAGTGGTAATTTTCCAGAATACCAAATGTCAAATCAATTATTTTATTCTTCATTCCTTTAAAATTTACAAAGTACAAAAATAAAAATATATTTCATCTGCATATCCCCAATTATTTGTCACTCTACATTTCTTATGAAGTAGTACATGCATTTTTTTCAATTTTTCAACTTTAACAAGTTAGTTATGATTGCTAGCACTACGTAAAAATGGTGGAGTGCGGTGAGAAATTTGGTGGAATACAAATAGCCTTCCGTAAATAAAAACATACGAGCCGTAAATTAATAATCAAGGTTTAATACGATTTTGCATTTATTATTTTAAATGATTGGTGTTTATTCGTGTCTCTTTCTTTTTTTATACTACTCTCTTTAATCACATAATATAGTATGTCTCTACCGAGAATTTTTCTCATCCCAAATTATTTGTCACTGTATATTTCTTATGAAGTTATTAATTGTATTTCTTCTTTTTCCAATATCATTTTTAATCAGTTTTTTTTTCAGAGAAACATTTTTAATCAGTTAGTTGATAAATAATTAATGACAATGGTAAATTAATAATTTCTTTTTTTTACTATAATTTATGCACTTAATTTCTTTTAATATATGCTCCCAACAATGAAAAATATCATATAATATGAGACGGATGAAGTAAGAATCAGGTCAAAACAAATTGCTTTAGAAAATTGTGTTTATCTTTTTCAACAATAGTTGGCTCTATAAATATAAGAGTGCGTTTGGATGGAAGGATTTGGGGAGGGATTTGATTTGGGGAAGGGATTTGAAATGACTCCAATTTTGGAGTCATTTGAAATCCACCTCAATTGCTCAAAACATAACTAAAAATGAGGGGTGTGGATTTGAAATCCATCCCCAAATCCCTCAATCCAAACAAGTCCAAGGGATTTGTTATTATGGATTTGAAATCCCTTCCCCAAATCCTTCCATCCAAATGCACCCTAATGTTTGTAAACATATACATTATATGCAATTCTTTTTTTGTTAACTAGCTTCTTGAAATATGTATTGTTTTGGTGGTTTACTCAACAACCAAGCAAGAATGGCTATAACAACAAATCAAAATGCAATAAAATAAGACTACAAGAAAACAACACGACAATATTGAAATTAGTAACGACAAAGAATACTACTGATATACAGCACACTGGTTTATCCGTAAATTTGACTAGCCTTGATATATACTAATGTCAAATTTACTTTTCCTTTTTTAGATACATAAACTTTTATGATCATTGTTCTAATAGTTGTCCAAAATTCTTTACAATATTAAATAATTGAATAAAAAGAATAATATATATATATATATATATATATATATATATATATATATATATATATATATATATATATATATATATATATATATATATATATATATATATATATATATATATATATATATATATATATATATATTATTGGAAAAATGAGTATTTGGTCAACCATAAACGAATTAAAATGAGTATTCGCCTATTCGAACCTTCTAAATCATCCACTCTAATGTCATCCGATAGATGTTTTCTACATGTCGTGACATCTGTAAAAAAAAAAGTAACGATTTTATGATATGATTTTACACCCTTTTTTATAAAAAAGTATTTCATCCATTTTAATTTCCAAAAAAATAATTTTAGAATTGAAAATACACTTATAGGGTTAATTTCACTTGGATCTCTTGTTAGATAGTGGAATTACAAACTCCTCCCTTTTTAGTCAACAAATTGCACAAACCTCCTTGTTAGATAGCATGTCAAATGTCACTATTACCCTCATTATTTACAATTAAAAAAAAAAAACTGGCGAAAAATAGAGGAAAAATAGACATGCTGGAATTGACACCCCCTCTGACTATGATAAATTGTAAAGGTAATTTGGTTCCTAAAAAGTTAGAATAGTCAACTCCAGTCAAGAGGGCAAAATAGGAAGTTCATTTCAATTTTTGATGTTGTCATCAATTTCCGTCAAAAGAATGGACGGATGGACCAACAGAGTAAGCGGAAATATCTAACATGGGAGGTATGAACAATTTTTTGACTAACAGGGGATGAGTCTGCAATTTCACTGTGTAAGAAGGGATCCCAAGTGAAATTAACCTTTATATAGTTATATGTTAGGGCATATCCAACGTTTGCTCTTTTGGACCGCTAAAAGTTAAATTACATGATATATAGCTGATGGGAACAAAAAATTCAGCTTCAACGGGCCAGCTAAAATTTTGCATGCAATGTATAATTGGAAGCGCAACTGCTATCAATAGCAGATACTGTACATGGGCTGGTAAATATAAATATAATAAAATAATGAAAAAGTATCTCAATTTTGGAGAGAGACAAAGTGGGCCACACCACTTTCCTTTAAATAAATAATATAATATAATAAACATGTATAATATAGATGTTATGATTGGAGTAGAAATGATAAAAGTAAGAAGGCAAAACACTATTCACAAGCTACTATAAATATACCATTTTGATTTATAGCATTCTCCATTGGAGATGCTCATGTAATAATGTATGCGAGATATATAGTAGCAACATTAACTTTTAAAGAGGGACATTTACTTTTAAAATTTTTGAGGGGTAAAGTTCGAAAATTAGAAATTTACAGAGGGTGATGTGCAATTTGCCCTAATATTTTTGTATGCAATGTTTTTAAGACTAGGGGGGGAAGGATGCTTATATTATAAGTTGTAATTTGTTTGTTTAATCAAGATAATGATGAAAAATCTGACCCGTTTTACGAAAGTATAAGTCTGACCCGTAATGATGAAATTAACCCTTATTTTTGTTGCACGTCGCCCCTCTAAATATTATTTTTGTTGCAGTTACACCTTAAAAACACTATTTTTTTGCACGTTGCCCCATTAAAATGTTATGTTTGTTGCACAATGTCCTCAAAATATTGACTTATGGGGCAAAGTGCAACCAAAATAATATTTCGAATAGAGGTATCCATTTTTTGAATTTTTAAGGGAAAAAGTGTGAAAATGAAAAATTTATAGCGGGCGAAGTGCATTCTGTCCAAAATTTTAATACATAATAAATATGTGGAAGATCTATAATCCCAAAAGCTACGTGTTAAATAATGATCATTTTAACATATTGAAACGTGTGCCAATGACTGCATTAACTAACGATATACATGTAAATTGACGAAAATGACCAAAAATGTTAAATTATTGAAACGTGAGGATCAAATGTGTTTTTTACAAACATGAGGGACCATACGTAAAATCGGTGCAAACTTGAGAGAAAAAAATTTTAATATTCCGATAAAAAAATGATGAAAACAACATTACTTGCAACATATTAAAACTAAAACGGAATAAATTTAAGTTTATTTGAAACAAAATTGCGAAGAAGTACGTACCTATTTGCAAAACTATATCGGTAGCACACATCTTCGACCTCCTTGTTTTACTTTCGAGCTTGAAATCATGTTTCCAGCCTTCTGTATCGAACATGATGAAAAATCGACTTGATATTATATTATAGCAAGAAACATTGAGAAGATAACGAAAAGTGGAAATAAAAACATACCTTCGAATTTAGCTATTTTGATCCAAGTGTTGAATGTACTTGTAGTTGATACGTATAACGGGGATATGTGATATTTTTTGCCAGTCTTTACCCTTCGGTTTCTTGCATCTCTTCTCAAGTTGCGGGCAATGACATACTTCCAGCTTTCTCGTTGATTTCAGATTCTTGAAGTCGTCGGGAAACGAGTTCAATTTCTTACAACTCCAAATACTTATTTGAGACAGTGACTCAAGACTACTCAGCCAGTTTGGTAAAGAGCATAATCCATCACAATCCCATATTTCCAACTTCCTCATATTACTTAATATCTGCATGCTTTCGGGCAAATATTCGAGCTCTGGAATTCCATCTATCACCAAATCTTGCAGGTTCGGTGCTCGATTTAGTGGTCCTGATAAAGGCTGCAGTTTCTTGCAATTCTGAAACGATAGTGATCTAAGCGAAGGCAAGTCTTCCAAAATTATTGCTGGAAACGATGTAAGACTATTGCAACCGCGGATGTCTAATGTCTCGAGTGACTTGAGGCTCTCGAGTCCCTTGGTTAGAGTATGAAGATTAGAACAACTATCAAAAGATAAGGTTTTCAAAGCGAAGAGGTTATCGAGCACGTTTGATAGAGTTCGAATAGGTAATGACCCTATTTGTAGACATTCGAGGGCATTGTGATTTTGCAGTAACCCTTCCGGAAAAGTATCCAATCCCGCAGAATTGTACAGGCTAAGCGCTGTGAGCGAAGTAGTTAGAAACGTGATGGATCTAACAAGTTCCAAATTAACATCTAACATCGACAAACTTGTAAGAGCTGGTAATTTTGGCAATCGCTTCAACTTTGGACAAACGGTTATATCCAAGTCTCTTAAACAAGGAAAACTTTCTACCGAATCTGTTGTGGTCCATTCCTCAAAATTGGGCATTTTACAGATTCTGAGACTCGTTAGCACAGGAAACGGACCCCCGCCCTCTAAACGCTTGATTGAATCCATTCCATGGAGGTATAGGCTTTTAAGAGAGTGGAGCTTCCCTAAGGGTGGTAGGTGTTCACATCTTTGACAATTGACGAGAGAAACTTCCGTTATATTTTTAAAAGCTAAAGTTGACATCCAATTTGGGAACCTGGAACCTTGATATGACTCAATACGTATCGTTTCAAGATTATTGTGAGGTTCGAGACCCTGTAGAACCTCTTCAAAGTGTTCTGTGGAGTTCTCTTGTATGCCATTCGTCCAAGATAAACTCAAAGATTTCAGATTCTTCTTTGTCATTAAATTGGCACTTTTGGCATCTTCAATATTTCTCACATACTCAAGCCCTTTTATGCTCAATTTCTCACCAAGGTTCAACTCTTTCAGCTGGTCTATTCCGTGCAATTCATCGGGACCCACAATAAAGACACTTAGTCTACGCAGGCAAGTTAAATCTCCAAGCCTCGGTGGTGTACAAACAAGCGACTGGAAGTATTCAATGTCAAGAAACCAAAGATTTTTCATCTCGTTCAAACTTGCAGGCAACTCAAGAAGCTCCAAAGAATTTGTAAGCTTCAAAGTCTGAAGGTTTTGGAGACAAGTCAAAGACTCAGGTAAACTCTTGATATTATAGCATGAGAGTACAAGGTACCTAAGATGTTCCAATTTCCAAACTAAATCCGGTAACTTTTTTCTGATGCAATACTTTGCGTCCAATGCTCTTAAGCATCTTTGCTTTGAGAAGATGGAAGATAAACCTTCTTTCCAAGCTTCTAGTATTGCTCCTCCTCCTCCTCCTCCGTGAACAATAATTGAGCGCAAAGAGTCATCAATTGGAAGTTTGAACTTACTCGTACTTTTTGAAAAATTCCAAGAGGAATTTAAGTTGATAGACAAGTGACGAATTGTTTTAGGCATTATGACTGTCTTACCATGCTCTACGATATAGGTTTCGTGTCTCATAACAGAAGAAGCTAAATCGTGCATCAAATCATGCATTTTACACTTCATATAACCCCGATAATCTATCTGGACATCTTGGAGAAATGATCTCCACACCAATTCTTGAAAGATCAAACGTCCGCTGAGGTACATATCCCTTAGCCCATCAGAGGGAAGGTAGCCGTTAGCCATCCATAGTTCAACGAGTTGGTTTTCTTGCATGACATAATCTTTCGGAAATATACAACAATAGGCAAAACATTGTCGCATTTGCGGGAGTAAATTGTCATAACTCAACCTCAACGCTGGTAAGATACCATTTTCATCATCCGATAGATGCCAAATTTCACTCCCTTCAATTGCCAACCATTCACTTTCGTCAGATTTGAATCGCATCAAGCTCCCCAAAGCCTTGATTGCCAAGGGAACCCCGCCACATTTCTTCACTATCACCTTACCGATAGCAACAAAGTTCTCCTCCCCCTCTCCACTTACAAAGGCTCTCCGACTGAATAAGGCCCAAGAATCATCATCCGATAAATACCCAATATGGTGTACGCCAATGTTAGCCATCATGAGAGCTACTTTCTCAATACGGGTCGTCACCATTAGCATGCTTCCTTTCAACCCGCATTTCAAAATTTCTTTCAATCCGTCCCATAGCCTATGGTTCTCATTCCATACATCATCCAGAACCAATAGAAATCTTCTCCCCCTCAGCCTTTCTTGAAGAAGGCGTTGCAGTGGATCCAATGTAGAAATATTGCTTCCACCTCCACCTATCGATTCCAGAATCGCTCTTATTATCATCTCTATGCGAAAATCATCAGAGACGCAAACCCAAATCCTCAATTCGAAATGTTTATCCATCCTTTCATCATTATAGACCGATTGGGCAAGGGTGGTTTTCCCAAGCCCACCCATACCCTGCACCGCATACACAGACGGATTGTATTCGTCCCTATGATCACCCCTATCACGAATATTGCAAAGCAGCTTCTCGATTATCATCTCCTTTTCCTCGTTCCTACCATAAATCTCCGATACATTCACCACAGAACTAGTAATTCTACTCTCAAACGCCTCTCCAAATCGATTTTCGACAACACTCTCTCCCAAATGAAACTTAAGCCTTTCCTCCGCTATGGCGTCTAGTTTCGCCCTAATACTTTTCACTTCATGCGCCATTTTCGAATGGAACAACAATGGATTTCTCGACGAAAGAAACGATTTTAAACGGTAACGCGTACCTCTTTCGTCGTCGGCTTTTCGTCGAAGGCCCTCGGTGGCTATACGATCAAGTACGTCTTCGGCATCATAGGAGGCGTTTTTGAGCTTCCATAGCCAGTTTTGGATCGCCTCACTCTTCCTCTGCTTGATTTCAGCATCTTTGAGCACGAGTTGGATCGTCGAGAACGTGCTTTCGAGATTGTTGAGATCATCGGTCAATCCCAAATAGAGAGAGATCTCTTGTAGCGTAGATGAACTCAAAACTCCGAGAATTGTTTCGACAACTGCGGAAACAACTCCGTCTGCCATAGCTTGTGATCTTAATATAGTTTTCAGAGGCTGAAACAATTTTAGTTGGGAATATATTTTCAAGAAAATAAGATGGGATGAAAATGTAATCTAAGATGATAAAATGGCTGGTGAGATTCTTGGAAACAATAGTCAATGGTGAAGTCTTTCTTCTTTATGTGATGCAGGGGGCTTCACACGGTGGGTGGAAAATGGAAACTTCAGAGGGTCTATCCGATCTTCAACTGATTTTAATTTCCACAAATTTAAATCAATTTTTTTTTTTTTTTTTGTTCTTTTATTGGTGTGTTTAATATGATTAATTTTATTTTTTTTGAGTTTTTTGCTAAAAGTACCCATCTGAAATATCTAACTACAGTAGCACTGATTTCACATTTGATCCCTTATATTCAAAAAAAATACATTTGGTGCCTCATGTTTTAAAAATTCAGTATTTTTAGTCTTTTAAGTCAATTTTATGTCAAAACTGACGGAATCAAGCGTGTGCCTATCAATGACTTAACTGACAGACTAACTGTAAATTCTGGTCAGTAGAGATGATAAGATAATGGTGGCGCCGGTGACAGCAGATTTGAAAGTGATTTTGCTTTCCGACACGTTAAAACGAAGAGTCGAAGAGGGAGAAGATTGTTGGATTTTCAAGAATTTCTAAAAATTGCAATTTGGTCCTAAACGTTTTGGATTCTTTATAAATAAGCCGAATTGTTTGCACTTGAGGGACAATTACGTCTTTTCTCATCAAAAAATTCATCACCAGGTGGACAAACTGCGAGTGAACTGCACGAACTCGCGCTAAGAGGAAAGTACCTTTGACTATAACTCATAAGGGGTTTAAGTGATATTTTATATCACATGGACTTTTTCTGCAGTTGGAGATTTCATAGGGGTATTTACTAGGAATTTACCATTTAGGACACACCACACAAACTTTGGCTGGTTTTGCAGAGACCTTGGTTGAAATCTACACTTGGTCTTCACCAAATTTTTTATCTTCGATTAATTTTTGAGAATAGTTATAAGGGTAAATTAAGAGAAAACCCCTGATGTAAGGCTCAGTTACGAAAATCCCCCTCATATTTGCGTGATTACGAAAATCCTCCTTTGACCAGTGTTTGGTCGTTTAAATTCACAGAAAATGTATTTTGTCCATTATACCCTTAAATTATTTGAGAAAAAAACAAAGGATACGAGAACCCACCCGAGGTAAGATCTAATTACAAAAAATCACCCCAAATTTGTGTTAGACGTCAGCATACCTAAGTGGATTTTCGTAATTAAGCACACATGAGGGAGATTTTCATAATTAGGGGTTTTCTCCTATATTTATATTATACATTATGCATTTTACTTCGCTTGTAATTAACAATGGATCTTGAGTACTGGCATAAAAACAAACTTGTGGTAATGGTAGACTCTTAGTAACAAAAAGATTACCATTCCTAGATGAAAGAATGCTATTTAATTTCTTGTTAATCATACATACATTATTATAGCACAAGTGCATATTAAAGAATGACTAAAAAAAATCTAATTATGTTATGTAGTTGACCTTGGTATTCAAACGTACCACCCCACAGTAGTGTCCATAATAAGGGTCTTCAATAGAAACAACTTGTTATTATTTCTACTAATTTATCTTAATATATGTCGGAAAACGAGTCAGCTTTCATCGTCATCTTGGTCAAACAAACTAATTAACACTTATATATACACCAACATTATTGCGGTTTAGTACGTACAGTTGGGATAAGAAAATGGAGGGAGAATTACGAGATGCAGAAGCAAATAAACAGGGCGGGAAACGAAGCGATTTCGTGCAAGAGTTGAAGAGTGTTTGTTGCATAGCAGCTCCAATGGTTGCTGTATCAGTTCTGCAGTATCTAATACAATTTGTATCAGTGGTGATGGTGGGCCACCTCGGCCAGCTCACACTGTCCAGCGTGGCAATTGCTACTTCTCTCACCAATGTCACCGGCTTCAGTCTCCTTGTAAGTACTTTCATCTCCATAATTTCCAAAAGAAAACAAAAATAAAGTACGAACAACCCCTGAACTTAGGCTAAATTACCAAAATCCCCCTTACGTTTGTCTCCATCTTACACTGACCCCCTTGCGGTGACACTTTGATGGAATCTTTTTTATTCCAGGGAAAATTCATCATAAAACTCGGTCAACAGTTAGTTAGAGAGGGGTTTTAGTAATTACTGATAGGGGGTGTTTTTCGTAATTAAGCCTAATTTCAGGGGCTTTTTTGTAATTTACCCAATAAAATTAGAAAAAAAATACCTTATAGTACTATTTTAAGAGAGCACGTAATCATTTTATGATTCTTGATTTTTGGTGTATAATACAGTAGGGGGTTGGTTTTAGTAATTGCTGATAGGGTGTGTTTTTGTAATTAAGCACAAGTTCAGAGGCGTTTTCGTAAGTTACCCAATAAAATTAGAAAAAATACCTTGTACTACTATTATATGAGAACACATAAGTAATCATTTTATGATTCTTGATTTTTGGTGAATAATATATAGTCAGGGCTTGTTGGTGGCTTGGAAACTCTATGCGGGCAAGTGTACGGAGCGAAGCAGTATCATAAGCTCGGTATTTATACGTATAGTGCCGTATTTTCGCTGCTTCTTGTATGTATTCCAGTTTGCGTAACGTGGTTTTTCATGGAGAAACTACTCGTGTTGATCGGACAAGACCCTTTGGTCTCTTTCGAAGCGCAAAAGTACGCTCTTAAGTTAATTCCTGCGTTATTCGGTGCGGCGATTTCGAAGCCACTTGTGAGATTCTTGCAGACACAGAGCTTGACTTTTCCGATGTTAATAAGCTCGTTAGTCGTTTTATGTTTCCATGTTCCGATGAGTTGGGCTCTCGTGTATCGGTTGAATCTCGGAAGTGGTGGTGCAGCTATAGCTATATGCGTATCGAATTGGTTGTATGTACTTGTGCTTGCGCTGTATATAAGATTCTCTGCTTCTTGCAAGAATTCGAGGTTGGCTTTTTCGGTTGAATCGTTTTTTGCTATGGGGGAGTTTTTTCGATTGGCTGTTCCTTCTGCTGTGATGGTTTGGTAGTTCTTCTTACACTTATTCTTCAGGGTAAATTACACATACACCCTTGGGGAGGGCTAAAATAACTTTAAGGTCCCTGTAGTATCGATAATTACAATCACCCCTGAAACATTTTTAGAAAGCCTAACGTAATAATGCATTGGATAAGTTATTCCGTTAGGGTTCTAACAGATTATTAGTTCTAGGCAGTGGTGGAGAAAACATAGAGCTAGTCGATGGCATGGTTCTCCTAATAGATTTATAAATTTTCGTCTATGGTAGCACTAACGTTCCCGCGAGAAAAAAAAATATAGTGCATATCGGTCCCCAGGACATGAAATCTTCGCTCTCGTAATTGTTTCTGGGGTGTGGTTGTAATTGCTAATACTACAAGGACCTTAAAGTTATTTTAGCATACCTCAAGGGTGTAGGTGTAATTTACCCTATTATTTATTTCGATTTCGATTTTTTTTTTAATTGTGCTAAATTTGGTTTTCCATATGTTTGTTGATGTATGTGGTGACTGTATATAGCTTGAAATGGTGGTCACTTGAAGTACTTGTCTTGGTATCTGGTCTTCTACCTAATCCACAGCTTGAAACATCAGTGCTGTCAATTTGGTAAAAATGTCTAAATATAATCACTCTTTATTTATTTAATTAAACACATAAATTTGTGTAAATATATATGTACATATATATGATCTTGATGAATAATTGAATATTGTAATGTTATGACCAGCCTGACAATTTCGACGTTGCACTTCACCATTCCGTACGGGCTAGGAGCTGCGGCGAGGTATGCATTCCTTTTTTTTTTCCGATAGCTTCACTATAATTATAAGTATTGACTATAACATTAATATATGGTTCAGTGATTAATTTGTCAATTTATTTTAGCACAAGGGTTTCGAACGAATTAGGGGCGGGAAATCCAGACAAGGCTCGTGTGGCGGTTTGGGCTGTCATGTTTCTTGCCGTAACCGAAACTATTACAATAAGCATACTTCTCTTTTGCTTCCGCCACATTACGGGCCGGGCTTTTAGTAACGAAAAGCAAGTGGTGAAGTACATTGCACTAATGACTCCTCTTATTTGTGTCTCCACAATCACAGATAGCCTACAAGCTGTAATTTCTGGTAACTTTTAGCTACATTTTACTAATTTAATTTAATTAATCACCCCCAAGAAAAAGGCATTTTTTTATTGGCAAAAATACATTTTCCGTTCCTCAAGTTTCCAATAATTTCATATTTGGTCCCTTATAATTTCGAAAGTTCAACTCTTGTAGTCTTTTCCATCAAATTTCCATTAGCGCTGACGGAATCAAGCGTGTGCCTTGAACTTACTTAACTGACGAACTATCAGTCAATTGACGGAAAATGACCAAAAGTGTTACATTATTGAAACATGAGGGACCAAATGTGTTTTTAATGAATATGACGGACCAAATGTGAAATCCGAGCAAACCTGAGGGATGAAAACTGTAATTTTCCCATTTTTTATTAGTCCAAAAACATAATTTTAATTTGTTCCTTATTGGAATAGGAATTGCAAGAGGGAGTGGGTGGCAACACATTGGTGCTTATGTGAACTTAGGCGCATTTTATCTAGTTGGAATTCCGATAGCATTAGTTCTCGGATTCATCGAGGAATTAAAAGCAAAGGGATTTTGGATTGGAATAGTGATTGGATCCGCGTTACAATCGACTGTTCTTTCGATTATAACAGGCTTCACCGATTGGCAAAAACAGGTCAAATTAATTTATTTTTTTTAACTTATGTGTCGTCACTTGTTAAGGATGCTACAAACAACATCATACGAGTTTTTGAACTGTATTTTTTTCCGTATACGCAGGCAACGAAAGCTAGGGAAAGGATGAAAGAAGAAACTTAAAAGTAGGATTATTTGGCCTAATAGAGGAGCTGAATTTAGGCCTCACCAAAATATGTATACATATATATATACTATCTTCAATTTGTTTTTTTCCTTACTTCATCGATCTTCGGTTACCCTTTCTCTTGCTGCCCTTGCCTGCATGAATCATGAGTTGAAATTTCATATTCGCCAACCATATTAGATACAAAATAATGTTTTTTTTTCTTTCCGGGATTTTCGAACAAATTAAATGATTTTTTTTTTTTGTTGAAGTATTACCTGTTTTTCCCAGTCTGTGAAGCATGTTATGAGTGAGAGAACAATAGACTGTGTTGGCACGAGATTTCTGTTTGTGAAGATTGAAGAAATCCGCCATACGTGGAAATTAAAGATTGGCAAAGATTTGTTTTCCATGTTTATTTTGGAATTAATTAGAGTCCTATTTTTGTAATATTGTTATTAGGACTTAGATTTATTTCCATGTATTGTATTCTAGTTAGGTATCTTTTGTATTTATTTAGAATAGAAGTAGAAATCGACTAGGATTCTATTACCTAGTTAATCGATTTCTTAGGGCTCAAGTTAGGTTTAGGGTGGTGGATTTCGTGCCTATATAAGGCCCTCAACCTCATATGAGTCCCATGGAGCTTTAATAAGAAAAATCCCAGCATAAAGGCTTTGAAGGGTGCAGCCCGTGCTGCAGCCCCGTCGGCACATCAGGTGTGGCAACATAACAGGTTTCTTCTACTAGGCCATAAAGAAGATCGGCGTTTCGGGAGAAGTGCTTAAAAGATCTCGAGTGAGGTCGATCCGCCGTTTGAAAAGTCTTATTAATGTACACTTAAATCTGAACTAGTTTTGCAAGTCCTCGTGGATGTAGGGTACATTTGTATCCGAACCACATTAAATTCTTGTGTTCTTTATTCTGCTTTTAGTAGGTTTATTACTGTAACAACACAAGAATTCTGTTACCACACCTAATGTCGTAACACGTAGTCTGTCTCAACAGATGAATAGATTTCTATAGGCATTTAAAATCAACAGTATGCACCAACTCGTTGCCACCCGCACCCTCTCGCAATTCCTGCCAAAAAAAATATATCATGTCTGAAACTAAAATCCTGAGTTTTTAGCTTCGGTACCTCTGTGTAATCTCTAATGACTAAAAACGCACCTATCTTAAAACAATTAGCAAAGACCCCCTATATAAGATGGTCAAAACCAGTAAGAACCCTACGAGTTGGTCGTGTGATACACTCGCCAAATATGCGGATGGGGTTCAATTTTTTGACGTAAAAAGACCTAAATACTCTTTAAATTATAAATTTCAAAAATAAGCCTCAAATAAAATTTTCAATATTTTCAATTTAGTCCCTTGAAGTTTCAGAAAAGCCCTCTTCTTTCAAGTCAGGGGACGGGATTGGAATTTTCCCATTCATGCACAAGGTCGAATAAAGAGGAAAGGCAAAACTCCGGCGGCCCTTCTGCTTCGATCGCGTCTCCTCCACTACGAAAGGCAAAACTCTGGCAATGAATAAAGAGAATTCAGATTATTGCAACCCTCGATAGAAGCCAACCCTTATAGCCTTCCGTGACTGCTGCTTCTTCGCCTTTGGTGCCTTCATTGCGAGTGTGGTGTACGATACGGAGATGACCATGGCGGATGGTGGAGGAGAGATCTAGATGGCGGTGGAGATGAACGGAGAAGAATCGTGTTCGGTTGTAGATGACGACTTTTTTTTTATTACATTTTTTTGGTGTGATGGGGAGGCGGCACGTGGAATATGACCCTTCTTTATGTTTTATTGATGCTTTGTTTTTTATTTTGTTTTATAGAGTGTTTTAATGAGGGTAGTATAGTCACTTCCTTAAAATCAACATGTTTATTTCTGCTAGGGGGCAGTGAACTAAATAGAATGCAACATAGGGGGTAATTGTTAATTTTCTTAACATGTTTTATTTTTAGCCATTACAGATTACACTTGGGGGTATGTGCGAGGGGTATGTGCAAATAACTCCTAAAATCCCTTATGTAATGCCTCTTTGCGTTGAAAACCAACCGGATATTGCAATTAAAAATTAAAAATCTTACCATTACACCCTTGGAAAGGGTAAAATTGGAATATTTGAATGAATATTCTTAGAATTTAAAAGATTCTGTTAAAGTTGAGGTGGTAAGAGGAAACGGGGGGATAATTATAATTTCACAACCAAAATGGGGGTTTTCGTAATCTAGAAATTGCTCAGGTTGTTATTCACAATTTACCCCAAATGGAAGTTTTTGTTTGAACCAATTGTTTGTTTGAAAACTAACCAGATATTGCAGCTTGTAGGCTATCTGTGACTGTGGAGACACATATAAGTGGAGTCATTATAGAAATGTAGTTGATAACTTGCTTTTCGCTGCTAAAAGCCCGGCCCAAAACACGGCGAAAGCAAAAGAGAAGTATGCTTATTGTAACAGGTTTGGTGACAGCAAGAAACATGACTACCCGAACGACAAATCGGGCACTGCCCGGATTTCCAGCCCCCAATTCATTCGAAACCCGAGTGCTGAAAACAATTAATACTATTTACTCTTTTACACTTTGGATTAAAAAAATAATAATAATAACAAGGGGACGAAAGAGAAACGGACCTTGCTGCAGCTCCAATTCCGTATGAAAGAGTAAAGTGCAATGTCGATATTGTTAGGCTGATAATCAACATACAAAAAAGTTCAATAATTTTCTAGTGATCGATACATACGTAAGAATGAGAGAAATAGTTTGCTTTACCAAATTGATAGAACTGAAGTTTCAAGCTTCGGATTCGCCAGAAGACCGGACAGCAAAACAAGCACTTCAACTGCCCACCATTTCATGCTAGTTGTAGAATCAAAGAAAAAAAACTAGGTTATAAATTGAATAGATGTGTTCGTTCTAGTATGAAAATTGTATGATTTTATGTGACTACATGTAATCGTTTATTTATTACGAGCATGTTATTTGATTTAAACGCGAGCATGCTAATTGATTTAATTTCGGTTAAGTAATTAAGCATGTATGTTGTTTTTAATTTCGCTGGAAGCGCAAAGGTACGCAATTAATTGTTTTCAATTATCGGGCATGTGTTTATGTGTTTTAAATTTGTTTAAATCGCATAAATTTTTTGTTTTCCGCTGCGTACACGTGTCCGAATCCCAACATGCATCCCTTAACTATGGGGTTTGTGCCAAACATCCCGTTGAACTACAAAATTTAACAAAATGGCTCTTGTCATATTCAGTCAATGCTTGAAAAACTAACGCCGTTAGTTTTTGAGTGATTTTACATAACTTACCTTAAATTTGTCTATAAAATTTGCACCATCTCACCCCATTGTTTCACTCTCCCATCCAAACACTTCGCAAAGATGACCCATCACAATTCTCTCTCTTGTTCTCTATATCCGAGCTAGTGATGTCCAAAATCAATTCACTGGCCAAATACGATGCATGGAAGCGGCGGAAGTGGCTGAAAACCTTATTGAGAGGCGTCGTTAATTCTGGGGAGATGAATGAGCTGAGGTGGACGATTGGTAATCTGGGTGATGGGAGGCCGTTGAGAAAATCGCGGCTGGGGTTTTCGGCCCCACCACATATTTATTACCTGGATTTGGTCTGCGGTGATTCTACTTAAAGAGGTCTGAATTAGAGCAACAAGAGAGGGTGCGAGATGGGAAGAAAAGACGCTATTAGTAGTGGTAATTGGGTTGAGATCTTGAGGCATAGACATCCAAATTTACTGCCATTGTCGGGGTTTTGCTTGGTGGAACTTCGAAAAGCTCTATTTGTTTTTTTTTTTTTTAAAGTTATATTGGCTTATTTTATGTATTTGTTGGTAATATGAATTAATAATAAATTTATCTTTTTAATTAACTTAATTCAAAATGTTTTTTTAAGAGATAATGCATGCATGCATGCATATATATATATATATATATATATATATATATATAGTATGATTAACAAGAAATTAAATAGCATTCTTTCATCTAGGAATGGTAATTGTTGGCACGAGATTTCTATTTGTGAAGATTGAAGAAATCCGCCATACGTGGAAATTAAAGATTGGCAAAGATTTGTTTTCCATGTTTATTTTGGAATTAATTAGAGTCCTATTTTTGTAATATTGTTATTAGGACTTAGATTTATTTCCATGTATTATATTCTAGTTAGGTATCTTTTGTACTTATCTAGAATAGAAGTAGAAATCGACTAGGATTCTATTACCTAGTTAATCGATTTCTTAGGGCTCAAGTTAGGTTTAGGGTGGTGGATTTCGTGCCTATATAAGGCCCTCAACCTCATATGAGTCCTACGGAGCTTTAATAAGAAAAATCCCAGCATAAAGGCTTTGAAGGGTGCAGCCCGTGCTGCAGCCCTGTCTGCACGGCAGGTGTGGCAACTGAACAGGTTTCTTCTACCAGGCCATAAAGAAGATCGGCGTTTCGGGAGAAGTGCTTAAAAGATCTCGGGAGAGGTCGATCCGCCGTTTGAAGGAAGTTCAACATTGGAGGAAGTCCAAGAGTGCGGAGGAGGAATTGCTTTGATTATCAACAAGTTCGAGTCGTGTGCAAGAACGGCGTATCACATAAAGAGGGAGTCTTTAGTGTTTTATTAAGTCCTATTAATGTACACATAAATCTGAACTAGTTTTGCAAGTCCTCGTGGATGTAGGGTACGTTTGTATCCGAACCACATTAAATTCTTGTGTTCTTTATTCTGCTTTTAGTAGGTTTATTACTGTGACAACACAAGAATTCTGTTACGACACCTAAAGTTGTAACACGTAGTCTGTCTCAACAGAAGAGTGGATTTTGATAGGCATTCAAATTCAACAGTAATCTTTTTGTTACTAAGAGTCTACCATTACCACAAGTTTGTTTTTATGCCAGTACTCAAGATCCATTGTTAATTACAAGC